TTGGTTCAATAAATGGTCATATGGGCCATTGGTATTTATTTATCTCAATCAGCATACAAATAATATACATAGTTATGAAATTATATGTTAATCAGTAATAGTTTCACAGTGAAAATAAAGTAAATGAGTTAATATGAGTTTTATTAGGATTTTACTTTTAAATGTTTGATAAATCTTGTTTTGCTTTTCCAAATGGGTATTGAAAAAAGAAAGAAGGGAAAAGAAATAAATTCAAAAAGGATTGTTAACAAGGATCCTTAAATTATATTACTAGAAAATCTCCCAGGCTGTGGACTTTTACTGAATCAACATCAGTGCTACTGACAAACTGGCCAAAATTAATAAGGACTTTAAGACATGGTAAGTGATACAGACGAAAGCAAACTTATTTTTAGATTTTCATAAATTCGAGGTGAGCGTCAGCAAAGATAAGGACACAACTTAAAAGGAGGCAAAACTTAAGACGAATAACTTGCTGCATTGAGTGGTTGGCTTAACTTGAATCGCGATGACGTCAGTGCCAGCCGAAATTCGCAATGGACGCAATAAAGAAGCAAGTCCCTTCAAGATTTCAAAGTACGCACTCGCCCATCCCACAAATTCCTTCTTATTCCGCCACGGGACGATTACAACAACAACAACTGGCAAAGGGAAATGCGAATGAAGAGAAATGGAAAGAAAGGGAAGGGAAGGGAAGGGAAAGGAAGGGAAAGGAAGGGAAAGGAAGGGAAATGAAGGGAAAGGGGCGGGAGATGCCAGAATAGAGACACACGAGGGTTGCAATCTAATGAAATAATAATAATAAAAAAGTAAATAAAGCAAAGGGCGATGCCTTGGGGCGAGGGGGAGCTGGGGGAACGGAATGGAACGGGCCAAGTACCGTTTATCATTTGCAGCCGCTTTTGATCCTCAACGGTAATTGTCGAATGGCGTGGGTGCAAGAAGGATGGCAAGTGTGCGAAGCGCGTAACGGGACACCCCCCACAAAAAACAGCAGGAACACGCTGGAATGGAACGACCAATGTGCGTTTCAACGCTCCCCATCCCATTCCATTTCATCCCATACCAGGACATTCCATCCCACTGCAGCTTATTTAATCTCGTACATAGGCAAAATTTTATATGACATGATGATCCGTTTGATAGTTTTATGTGCAATTTCAATTTTAAGGTTACAAAATTGTATGATTTCTTTTTTTGATTTATAGTTTTTGAAGTATGAAACGTACAATTTTTAAGCCACAAAAAACATTGTGCAGGGGCTTTACAACGAGCTCACATTCATAAAAGTCAGCCAATTCATCGGCTCCCTTGCAGGATATTTTAATGAAGTAGAGTTATTGTCACCTTATTTTTTACTGTGCACCCTACACCATCCCAGGCGATCCGAACCATCCCAAATCGAAATGAAAATCGCAGCATGGCAACGCACAGGACGCACGAACAAAAATGCGTCGCAGTTGCCTCAGGGGTGGGTGGTTGCTTTCGCTGTGGCTTTGGCTCTGGCTTTGGCCCTTTGGCTATCCCTTGTCGTGAACCCTCATCCGCGTCCTCGTCCTTGCAGGGGAGACATCCTGCCAGCCAGCTCGACTAGGTTAGCTAGGCTAGCTAGATGGAAGCCAGAGCCAGCCGGCTGTAAACATTCCTCGCTGACGCAGGAACGCATCTCGACCACGGCACAGTGAAGCACGTTCGGTGGTGGATTCCTGGCGGTCCAGCAATCCAGCAATCTCCAGTTAAGTATGGGGAAATGTCGGTGGTAATCCGTCAACTGATTGAACAATTTTCGAAGAACCACTCTTCATAAGACCCATTAGAGATTGTATTTTTGCAGTTCGCTAAAAGGCACTTGCCCACTCCTTGGGAAATCCCAAGATAACATCAAGTTAGACTATTGTAACCATTTCGTAGAGATTTGAATGGTTCATACAAATTTTGGAGGTACTTTGGAACTATATCTTAACTATATTAAAGTGGTCGACTTTGGACAACAAAATATATTGACTAATCAATGGGTTGTTCATTTGAACGATGTGTTTTCATATTTAAATGTAAACTATAAAATATTTATATTTCGTAAATGTAATTACATTCATTTTACAGTTAAATGGGACGATCTGGTGTAAAGTGTTAAGGCAAAAGAATTATATTTTAGCTGCGAAAGGTCCGATCTTGCAAACTAAGTATATTATCGAAACAATAAGCTTGTATATTATATTATTATTTTATTTAAATTGTAAAACTAGCCATTGAATCGTTCAACAAAGATGTTCTAGATCAAATCTTTATCAATGAACTCAATGAACTTTTATACCGTAATGTATCTAGGGAATTCATTTTGTTTGTGCGTAATAAGATGAATAATTCACTCTTAGAAAGTAACATGATCAGTTATCGGTACAAAGTGGGAGTTCGATAGACTAGGTGCTATCGAGAGATTTGCTGGGCTTTGCGCCCCCTTTGTTTTGTTGTCACTTTCATCCTGCACCCAGTGTCCCTGTCCAGGGGCGTAGGACCACATCCTCGACCTTGTCCTTGTCCCGTATTTTGGGGTTGAAAAACTACGCAAGTTTCGCTCGAAATTCGTAAACGGGACGCAACCAGCTTCTGTGAATGTGTGTGTGCGTGTAAGTGCGTCAGGCTGTGTGTGTGCTTCGCAGTCGATGTGGGTATGGGTGTGGGCTGAACTGGGTTGGTAACAGTTGGATATATGTGTACACACAAACAGATATATATATATGTATATATATATATTTTGCTGTTGCTCCGGGGTGCGCATCGGATTTAAGTGAACGAGGAATCGACGACGAAGAGGAACGGTAAAATGTAGGAGAGCAGGAAGTGGAAATTTCGATGGCAGCAAGGTCAGCGAAAGAGGGAGATGCCAGGATAATGGGAGAGAAAGGGAGAGTGATAAGGGAGAGTGCGAGATCCTAAGGCGATTGCAAGATTCACACTTTTCTAGTCCAAAATCTTTATCAGCTATTCGGCACCTTGTTTCCCTTTTGATAACCTCTTGTGTGGACGGTAAATCTAGTTGGGAAATATAAAGGTGTTTTATGTTTCATATATGAAACTGATCCAGAGTATAACCAATCTTATAACATGCAATTTTGTTCTGAATCAATTGTAGTAAATTAAAATTGTAGTACTATTTGATTACATATTTGTAGTTCAACATTTTTATTTACTATCGGTGCTAATACAATCGTTTTTCAAAAAAAGATATGCCAAGGATAAAGCAGCTTACAGATCGTAAAATTGCTTGCATATTTTCTGGGGAGCCGTTTGTAAGAAAAACAAATTAATATCTTTCTATGATGGTACTATTCATCATAGAAAGATATTAATTTGTTATTTGAAAGATATTAATTTGTTTTTCTTACTAATACAATATTAGTTATAGCATATAGAACGTTTTCTGGTTAAAAGGATTTATCTTACAAGCTACCTTGCCTCATATCCTCATATGGAAATACTCCAAACTCAGTTTGTAAAACTCATCAAACAGTTTCTAAAGTTTAATTGCTTTATAACAATAATAAGTTATTCATTCTGGTGACACTCGGCGAAGGGGTTAAATGAGAGCCAATGCCATGTGTATTTTCGGATGCAGACAGCTTGCCTCAAGTGGCAATCGTAGGTGGCATACACTTAACAATGCCTCAAAAGAAGACTTTTCCTCTCCTCTTTCGGGTTTTCCTCGTATCTTTGAATTTAAGTCGCGTCGCTCTAAAGCAGCTGTGGCAGTTTGAATTTTCCTGACATTTTCACGAGCCAGCAGGCAAAACAGACAGTGCCACTGAAAGAAGAAGTGAGCAAAGGAGAGGGGCGAGGAAAATGGGAAAACAAAAACGAAGAGGAGAGGAGAGAGAGAGAGAGAGAGAGTGGCAAGGGGAGAGGGAAAACGTCAGCGTCGCTGCTTGGGCCACCCTTGTTTTCAGAGTTTTTCCCCGAGTTTTCCGCTTGGGACAATGAATTTTCGCTTTTCACATTTCACACTCACCCCCGTCGGCAGCTGCGTCGACGTCAACGTCACTGTCAGCGTCACCGCCGACGTCGCTGTCTTCAGCAGGCGAGCCAAACCAATCAGATGGAAAATATTCGTTTATCCGTTGCGTTTTTCGACGTTTTTCCTTTAAGTCGGGAAACCTTTGAGAACAGCGGTGCCAAGTACAGGTCCAACAGCTGGCACAGTGATCCCCAGAAATCTAGGAGATAGCTAAATATGTTCCGGTTCTTAGATCCTATCCCGCATCTTCGTATTTATCTGTAGTTGGTAATATTTTTACAAGATTAAATCCTACAATTCAATTGCTTATCGGTTTTATTTTTAATAAGGAAAGGACAAGTGGTTGAAAACATAAAGCTAGTTTTTCATTCATACATTTATGTGGTTAAATAATTTATAAATTCTTATAGAAATTAATTTTTTTTACAAATAAATTACAAATAAAGTACAACTGATTTTTTTATGTATATCATTAATATTGGTGTAACAGTTCCAATAGCAAGGTTAGTTCACTTCCATTTTATTGGTAAAATGGTAAGGGAAAATGTTGCTGAGTTGATAAGTGACATTTTATTTAGAACTTTTGGTTAGAATTAAAACGGAGTTCAACTTTAGAACATAAATATTAAATTGGGGAATTTGGTTAAGAAATGCAAGTTTGTGGAAAAGATCATTTTACTTGTGATCGCGGACTTTTTGGAGTGAGTGTGGTGTAAGTCGGCTGCTGCTCTTTAAAGCGGATAAAGTGGATAGACGCTCAAACGCACACACACACAGACGCGCCAAGGAGCAGGGTCAGCCATTTTGGTTTACAACTTTCACTGTTTGGGAAAATGGGTGGGAAAACGCGACGCCGACGCCGCTGCTGCTGCGCTGCGACTGCGGGCAGCGGAAAGCGGGCGGAGAGAAGAGAAATGAGAAGCGAGAACCGAGAACTGAGAAATGAGAACAGAGTTTTCCTCGCATTTTCATCGGACGCAGAGCAGACACCTTGGAATTGGGATCCGTACATCCGGCAGGCAGTTAGTTCACTCGTCGCCGTTGCGTCAGTTCGTTCGACTCTCAGCTCACAGCTCAAAATTCACAGTTAAATAGAAATAGCTCACGACGCGCCGATTACAGCCAACTACAGCTACCACATAGTTTTCGCCGCCATTTGCGATTTTTGTTGTTTTTTCTTCCATGACCAAAAGTGACAAAAGGCCATAGCCGCAAGGAAAATAAGTGAAAAGCCACAATAAAGGCGACAAAAAAAAGTGCAGAATTGAAGAATCAACCGAAACCGAAAAAAAAACCAAAAATTCGTCGGGAATTCTTGAGGTTTAATAATACACCAAAGTGTAAGTGAAAGAGAGAGGGCGACAAGCCCAGAGAGAGGGAGAGAGATGGAGATGGAGACGGAGAGGGGGGAGAGAGTGTTTTCCAGCCTTTCTTTGTACGCACTCACGCAGCTATTGCCGTCCCGCTCGCACCCGCTCACTCTAATGCCACCCTCCACAATCCGCCCACAGAGTTGTCACCTACGCGAAAATCAATAAGCCAAAGCAAACAAAATGAAATCCACATCGACGGCGAAAATAAGCCAACAAAATATTACTTCCGACCGAAATCAATCAATGGAAAAATCAATTGAAAACTCATAAATATACAAATCTAGGATCCTGTCGCAAAGGAGCCTGGATTTTTTTATAGACCTTGAAGTAAATGTACTTGAAGAGCACGCGCTTTCAAGATGATTGATCCAAAACTAAGGGGTGAATGGACCATTAAATCCTTACACCACATATGGATAAACTTTGTCGCTTGCCAAAATAATATACGTTCTCTTTTATGATTGAGAAATTAATATTAAAATTGCCATTTTTATTTTGAGGAATGATACTACTAAATTCGTTACTCATTTTCACTTTTAAGTTTAATTTTTGGATATATGCGGCAACGTATTACTTATCTAGCAAAATTAAATAAAGTTTTTCCCGAATTATTCAATGATAAAAAGACTGCAAAAATTCTCTTCTCGTCAAAATTTTTGATATTTTCATATGTCGGAAACCTTTCAGAATAATTTGTTTTAAACGGTCATTAAAAAGGTTTTCTTGCATAAACTAATTAATGGATAATTACATTTATTTACAAAACTACTGACAAAAATTCAATTTCTAAAATTTAAGAAATATACGGTTGAATAACAATATACATATAGTTAAACTAAGTTCGGCGGGAAAAATTAATGAGTTTCAGATTGCAGATGTGGGTGTGATAGGGTTGCCCTACCTCATCAATCGACAGATTGCAGATGTGGGTGTGACAGGGTTGCCCTACCTCACCAATGGACAGGCGGACCTCAGTAACCATTACCGCTTCTGTCAACCCTGAAGGCTCGTACAAATTTTCACTTTCTCACTATACTGTTTCAATTTTTTCTCGCTCAAAAAAAAATCAAAAATTTACCCAAAATCAAAAATATACACTCACACAGACCACAACAAGCCAAGAGACCGAAAACTAGAAAACACAAACCGAAGCACAAGCAAACAAAACAAAAGAAAACAAAGGAAAGGAAAGGAAAGGAAAGGAAGGGAAAGGAGAGGAGAGGAGAAAGCGAGCGAGGGACAGATCGATAATCCACCCGATTCACCACAAACTGTTCTACCCCTTATCACTTATCACTTATCAAATTCCCATGTTTTGGCTTTCCATTTAAAATTTTGTTAATCGAAGATACTACCGAAAATAGTGATCTCCGACTCGTTAAGATTCCTTAGTCGCTAAACCTCGATCCCCAAGCCAGATCCTCCGGCAAATATTATTTTTTTTTTAAGTGAACTTAAGTGGAGAAAAGAAAGGCTGAAGGATACGATTCACTCGCTCTAAAAAATAAAGATTTCTAACCCACTTAAGATCCAATCCTAAAGTTTGACATCTCGAAAATCTTTCAATAGCGAACTTAAAGCAGAAATCGGAAGTTAAAGCGGATCAATAGCCTGGATCTCAATATCAAGCATCCTGTCAATCAAACCATCAATCGATAAGCTGCAGTTCAACTGAAAGATACTCGCGTCCCATTAAGTCCGTAAGTATCCCAGTGAAAATGCAATATGCACACACCACTTCTGTTCCTGCAGGACATTTCTGTTTTCCCAAACACTTGAAAAGTTGGCGCATGTCCTGCAAAATGGTTTACTCAACAGAACGCTCAATCGTTAGACAGTTTGCTGATTGTCTAAGTAGTGTTCTTAGTCTTTAGATCTTGAGACTCTTTATAAGACATTACAAGTTTCTACAAAGAAGGGGTTATAAGAATTCAATAACTCTAACTAGGAATTAAATAACTTATTCGTATTCTGTACAGAAAGCGTTACTTTTCTCTTTGTAGATAAATAAGATTGTTGTATCATTTAACCTTTAAGTAAACGTATTCCTTGCTTATTTTCCAAATGCATTCCTAGTCAGCGGATTTAGCAATTGTATAAACCAGTTTTCCGAACCCCCTGTAAGATTAGCATTTTCCAGTTCCCCAAGGAGGCCGCGAATCAATTAAAAACCTATAACTTAGCCAGCGATGGAGCATTAATTCCCCCGATTCCTTCCTCTGTCTTCCATTCATGCCTCCGATGAGAAATGCTCCTCCTTTTTTCTCTGGGTTAACTGAGGGGGCCACCAATCCACTCCACTCCACTCAGCTCCACTTCGTTGCAACATTGTACGAATGACACGCAGACTACGGTGGTCGCTCGATAAGCGGGATTGCCAATTGGCAGTGGCGAAAGCGCAGTCGAGTGGATGGGCTTCACTGTAGATGAACGGAGGTTGCGTGTTTGGCGTCTATTTTAAATGTCGACAGCGCAAGATGCGCGTGGCATGAATGGAAGCGTCTGCCCCGCCCCCTTTCCCCCTCCCCCTCCCCATCCCGCCCACTTCAGCCCCCCTCCTCCATTCTAATCTGACTCGTCTGCCTCTAAATTTAATACATTCTCAAGTGAGGCGAAATTCATGGAAGATGCGAATAAAATCGGATCAATTTTAAAGTTCAACAGCCGCTGAAAGAGAGAGTGAATCAGTGTATATATATGTACATCTGATATATATATATATATATATATTATATATATATATATATATATATATATATATATAAGTATGTTTTGGGGGGCCAGAATTAGAAGCAGACTGACAAATTCCTCAGAGTTTTGCGATTCGGGGAAAGTGGGATACGAAATCCCACAGATGCTCCCTTCGATTTTCAGATAGTTCGTCGCCTCAAGTTTTTCTTTTTTTTTTTGGAAAGGTTTAATGATGCCTTTGTGATATGTGAAATCCGTAAAGGTAAAGTTGTATATGTTTTGGATATTGTTAACTCGGCGTTGAGTCTTTTATAGCTCACTGATAAATGTTTGGTTTGCAAACTATAGATAGATCTTCCTAAATGATTTCTTGATTTTATAAATCAGCTTTAAGTCTTTACACATTAATTCTTTAAACATTCATGAGATATTCTTTTTTTGGCATCGTTAGTTACCTTCCTGGAAAGATAGGATTTTGTAGATGCTTTTCTCTTGGAGATCAAATAGTTCTTAGGCGAATTAATCTGGGTCGATCCTTGAAAAGGCTTTGTTGATTTTAATGTTTCTTTAAATCTTCGCTATCTCAGATTTTTGGTATGATTATAGTTTATTTTATATCCAACTTTCCAGTTCTGTTTAATTTTTGGGGTATGCTCAGTGGCCATGTAAAAAACCCTTTCTTAAAATTCTTATTTTAATGTTTTAATAGAAAGTAATCTTTAGTGAAGATCGATATTTCCATTCGCGTATTTTTGTTTGAATCCTTGGTTAGTTACCTGAATTGATTGTCCACTTTCTGCTCTTTCTGATGTTCAGCATTCACCCTTCACTAGCTTCTATATAATAGGGGTGGTTCAACCTTTCGGATGATTCCTTCGATTTTCAGGCAATCAATCTGCCTCCTTCGTTGATTTTAGCACTACTCAAAGATCTGTTTTAGCGCCCACTTAAATCCTAGATAGCCATTCCCTTTCGCACTTGAGTGCGCTTACTATCTCCGTTTCGATCTTCAAACATCAGTCTATCTCGTTCTATTTGCGGCAACTGTACCTCGTTAGCGCTCCTTTCTTGACGCGCGTTGTCCTTGAGGCAGGAAGGCTCTAAGAAAGCTTAGGTAGGCAGGCAGGCAGCTTTCGCAGCTGTTGCTGGCTCGCCTCATCCTCCGACCTTTCCTCCCCTCTTCCCCTTCCCCCTTTGCCTTCCCTTCGATGAACTCCCCCTCCCCCCGAAGGACTCCTTATCTAGTCCTCGAAAGGTGTCCTGTAGCCAAACGAGCTCGTTCCTCCACAGCACTTCGCATTCGATTGTTCAATGTCCTGCTCGGAATGGCGAGTGTGTGTGCGTCAGAGTCAGGATATCGCCGAGCTAACCCTAGGAATAAATCCTTCTCTCGGGTTGACTTAGGAAGAGTTGCGAAGAAACTTGGCAAGAAAATAACTTGTACAATTACCTGTCTCGAAATGTATTTATTTATTAATGGGGAATTAAGTATTATACTTAAACGTAGTTAAAACACAATAGCAAGTTATAGAAAAACGCTAAATATTAATTTTTGCATTAGTAGAAAGTTAACTGATTTTATAATAACTTAATATCTTAAAATGACTTGTATATTTTGCTATCTTATAATAAACTCTTTTTTAAAGAGAAATAGTTGTTTTGAATAGATATTCAGCTTTTAAAAACATTCTTCAATTTAACAAGCGGGTAAAGCATTTGAAACAAATTTTCGATTTTTATGAAAGTAAAACGAAATGCAATTTTTGCTGTCTTACAATGGGATTTGCTCTATTCTTAGGCGAAAACTTGCCTCATTTGAACATTGAGTCCTTGTTTTGCCTACATTTTTTTCAAATTGCTTCCACCACTCACTTTGGATAAAAAAAGTGGGCTTATGGGGTTTCTAATTATTAAAAAGTATCGCTCGAAGGCAAAAGATTGTTTCTTTTATTTTTTTGAGCAAACTGGTTTTGCAATTAGAGAAAAAGGATCGGATTGTTGAGATTGGGCAAATTATATAAAATAGGGATAAAAACACCCATTTTCATCATTCATGCATTGTTGATAATAGAGAACATATTTTGTTTTTTTCTTTTTATCAATTTCTTGTGTGAATGCCACAGTTCTTAAAAGTTACCCAATTCACCTAACTAAAATGATTTAATAAAGAATATAATTCAATGTTTTCTTTCAATACTTCATTTCCTAATTTTAACTTCACTCTGGTTGTAATAAATTCAAGAACTAGGCGAAATGTTTAAAATATTTCTTAAATG